TGTACTCCAACCTAGAGGACCGAGTGAGATCTCACACACAAAAAAAAAAAAAAAAAAAAGAGAAAAAGGATATGCTTGGAATGTGAATAGTATTTATCCTGAGGTGACAGACTATGGGGGATCTGTTTGCTTGTTTACTTTTTTGCATTTTCTAAATTGTCTACAGTGGGCCCTTTTTTAGCGAGAAAAGAACTGTTTTTAAAAATTTGAAAGGTTTGGCTGGGCACAGTGGCTCACACCTGTAATTCCAGCCCTCTGGGAGGCTGAGCTCGGTGGATCACCTGAGGTCAGGTGTTTGAGACCAGCCTGGCCAACATGGTGAAATACCATCTCTAATAAAAATAAAAAAATTAGCTGGGCGTGGTGGCGGGCATCTGTGATCCCGGCTACGCAGGAGCTGAGACAGGAGAATCACTTGAACCCAGGAGGTGGAGGTTGGAGTGAGCTGAGATCACACCAGTGCCCTCCAGCCTGGGCGACAGCGCCAGACTCCGTCTCAAAAAAAAAAAAAAAAAAAAAATTCAAATGTTTAAGAAACAGCAAATAGGAAAAACCCCTTAATGGGATGTGACGTTTTCCTCTGAAGAGGCCACTGAAACATGGATGTGTCGTAGGTCAGGCTGCAGGGAGCTGTGGCTATAGGTGGCTTCAGATGGAACCATCTGTGGCTCTGGCTGTGACTGTGGTGGGTTCCAGGATTCCTGGGTTCTTTCCTTACTTCTTGCCCAGCTGGATTCACTCCTGCTTGCGAAAAGCTGACAAAAACAAGGACAACAAGATGAGCTTCAAGGAGCTGCAGAACTTCCTGAAGGAGCTCAACATCCAGGTGGACGACAGCTATGCCCGGAAGATCTTCAGGGTGAGGCAGGAGCGGGGGTGGGGCTGCCTGCCCATGGCACCCTTGCTGGCCCCAGGCCTGCTCTGACAGCCAACTGTCTTGGCTCTGCAGGAGTGTGACCGCTCCCAGACAGACTCCCTGGAGGACGAGGAGATCGAGGCCTTCTACAAGATGCTGACCCAGCGGGCGGAGATCGACCGCACCTTCGCCGAGGCCGCAGGCTCAGGGGAGACTCTGTCGGTGGATCAGTTAGTGGCGTTCCTGCGGCACCAGCAGCGGGAGACGGCGGCGGGGCCCGCGCTGGCTCTCTCCCTCATTGAGCGCTATGAGCCCAGCGAGACCGGTGAGAGTTGTTGCAGGGCGGCCGCACTGGGCCTGGCCCGGGAGACCCCTGGGGAGACTTCAGCCAGAAAGGAGGGAGTGGGGGAGAAGGGGCAGCCTCAGCCATCCACGGCCCCTGCTCAGCACTTGCCTGTCCCATGAGAGCCAGCAGATGAGTGACACGACCCCGGCATCCCTGCCCTTCTCTGGTCCCCTTTGCCTCTTGGCACCTCCTTCAGGGGGCTTTGAGGACCCTTCTTCAGGAAACGAGAGGCGGCTGAAAAGCAGATGCCATTCCTGCTTCCTTTTCTGTGTTCATTCTGGGCCCAGCTTTGAGATATACCAGAGCAGAGAAGAGGGGGCCCTGCTCTGGAGCTCCAGTCTGGGGGTACAAAAGAGGGGGAGATGACACTGTCCTCAGGGGCCTTAGAGTGTGCAGACAGGGGAGGAGGTAGAGACAGGGCCCCACTCTGGAGTAGCCACAGTCTGGTCTTGAGCCACAGACTTACCCTAGTTCCAAGAGCTCTGGAAGACCGGCTCGGGCCAGGCAGGCGAGCAGGGTCAGGGGGCTCCTCCGTCCAGATGGGTGGGCACCCAGGAGGGCCTGCTGGAGGCTGGCTCTGACTGGCAGTGGCCTCTTCCCTCCCAGCCAAGGCGCAGCGGCAGATGACCAAGGACGGCTTCCTCATGTACCTACTGTCAGCCGACGGCAGCGCCTTCAGCCTGGCACACCGCCGTGTCTACCAGGACATGGGCCAGCCGCTCAGCCACTACCTGGTGTCCTCTTCACACAACACCTACCTGCTGGAGGACCAGCTCACCGGGCCCAGCAGCACTGAGGCCTACATCCGGTGCTGCCCAGGGAAGCCTTGGGGCGGGAGTCTGGGTGGGACCCAGAATGGGACCTGGAGGGTCCTAGCCGCCACCCTCCCCACAGGGCACTGTGCAAAGGCTGCCGCTGCCTGGAGCTGGACTGCTGGGACGGGCCCAACCAGGAACCCATCATCTACCACGGCTACACTTTCACTTCCAAGATCCTCTTCTGCGACGTGCTCAGGGCCATCCGGGACTACGCCTTCAAGGTGGGCGTGCCCCTGGCCGGCGAGGAGTGGGCTGCTAGGGGTGGCCAGTCCTCCTAATGTGCCCTTGGGCCTCCAGGCGTCCCCCTACCCCGTCATCCTGTCCCTGGAGAACCACTGCACCCTGGAGCAGCAGCGTGTGATGGCCCGGCACCTGCACGGCATCCTGGGCCCCATGCTGCTGAACCAACCGCTGGATGGGGTCACCAACAGCCTGCCCTCCCCTGAGGTGCGTGGTGGTGAGGGGGGTACCCGGGGGGAGGGCGGGGAGCCTGGCCAGGAGGACAGGTGTGTCTTGACCAGTTGCCCCTCTACCCCTAGCAACTGAAGGGGAAGATCCTGCTGAAGGGGAAGAAGCTGGGGGGACTCCTGCCCCCTGGAGGGGAGGGTGGCCCTGAGGCCCCTGTGGTGTCAGATGAAGACGAGGCTGCTGAGATGGAGGATGAGGCGGTGAGGAGCCGCGTGCAGCACAAGCCCAAGGTTGGAGGGGGAGCTGCGGGGCGGGGCGGCCGGGCCTCCCCCCTCCCCTGGGAGGTCTGCCTTGACTCAGTTCTCTGCGGCTGTCACTCAGACCCTCTGCCCACTCTCTGTCTCCCTCCCTCTGTCTCTCTGCACCTGGGTTTCTGGCTTTCTCAGTGCGTACCCTGCCCCAACCTCTGAATCTAACCCGGGCCTCCCCGTGGCCCCCAGGAGGACAAGCTCAGGCTAGCGCAGGAGCTCTCTGACATGGTCATTTACTGCAAGAGCGTCCACTTTGGGGGCTTCTCCAGTCCTGGCACCCCTGGGCAGGCCTTCTACGAGATGGCATCCTTCTCTGAGAACCGTGCCCTTCGACTGCTCCAAGAATCAGGTGAGGCCTGGCCTCGCCCCCTCCCCTGCTCTGCCAGAGAACTGGCAGGGCAGGGCTTGGCCTCACCAGGCGGCCACTGCCGGCTGAGCCACAGCTCCCCTCAGGAAACAGCTTCGTCCGCCACAACGTGGAACACCTGAGCAGAATCTACCCGGCCGGATGGAGAACAGACTCCTCCAACTACAGCCCCGTGGAGATGTGGAACGGGGGCTGCCAGATCGGTATGGGCTGGTCGGGGCTGGAGGAGGGTTTCAGTCCTGAGGCCTGGAGCCTCGAAGGCCATGCAGTGGAGCTCTGAGGACCAAGCACGGTCAAGTGCGGGGCCTTGTGGAGCTGCTGCTGTCAGTCTGGAAATTCCTGTCCACCAGCAAGTGAGTGTCTGAAACCTCATTAGCACACGAGCCCTTTGAGTTCCGACACCAGAAAGGGAAGGGGTGGTTAGCGTGGTGGGTCACTGAGGGTGGCAGGAGGGCAGCAGGCATTGGCGTGATGTATCTCACTGTGACCCTAGGCCTCAGTGTACCCGAGCAGGCTGTGCTCTAGGGCCCCAGGGTCAGCCCACAGCCTGCAACTGCTCTGTCCTGCCTGCAGTGGCCCTGAACTTCCAGACACCTGGGGCGGAGATGGACGTGTACCAGGGCCGTTTCCAGGACAACGGGGCCTGTGGGTACGTGCTGAAGCCCGCCTTCCTGCGAGATCCTAACGCCACCTTCAACCCCCGCGCCCTGGCTCAGGGGCCCTGGTGGGCACGGAAGCGGCTCAACATCAGGGTACGCCGGACCCAGGAGGGACAGGTGTCCATGGGCCCCCTTCCCCTCACTGTGGCTCCTGAACTGTCCATTGTCCCCTGCCTTTCCTCAGGTCATCTCGGGGCAGCAGCTGCCAAAAGTCAATAAGAACAAGAATTCAATCGTGGACCCCAAGGTGACGGTAGAGATCCACGGTGTGAGCCGGGACGTGGCCAGCCGCCAGACGGCTGTCATCACCAACAACGGTAGGTGCTGGGCCCGGGCCGGGCCGCTGGGGCTGCTGTCCATGCGGTTGATATGGTGCCTGTCCTCCCCTAGGTTTCAACCCATGGTGGGACACGGAGTTTGCATTTGAGGTCATTGTGCCTGACCTTGCCCTCGTCCGCTTCGTAGTGGAGGATTACGACGCCTCCTCCAAGAACGACTTCATTGGCCAGAGTACCATCCCCTTGAACAGCCTCAAGCAAGGTGAGTGTGAAGAGGAAGGCCAGGTGGTGGAAAGTAGGGCCTGGCATCTCTTGGGCTAGGGCTGGCTGTCCCTTGAAGCATCTCCCAGAGTGACCAGAACTTGGTGTTCCCTCCTGCCCGTCCACCTGCCAGGATACCGTCATGTCCACCTCTTGTCTAAGAACGGGGACCAGCATCCGTCAGCCACTCTCTTTGTGAAGATCTCCCTCCAGGACTAGACTGGGGGAAGCCAGTGGGGTCCACACGAGGGCCAGGGCTGGCTGCTCCCAGCCTCTTGCTCGGAGCTAGGCCCCCAAACTTCCTTCAGCTCTAACATAGTGTGTGCTGCCGCCTCCCTGGGGACTGGGAGCTGTCTTTCATTCCGTTAGGGACAACACTGCAGCCTTCCCACCCTCCGGCCAGCCCATGGTCCAGGGTTTTTATAAAAATCACGATGAGATTAAGCCTTGTGGTCTCTTTACCTGGATGCCAGAAAATCCCCTGTGAAGTGTGCATGTCTGTGCCCCCCCCCATGTTCTTGAGTGCTGGAGCCCCAGCACCTCACTCTCTACCATGCTTGTACACACTTGAGTGGGGTACAAATCCCTCTGGGGGGTGGCACTGAGAGCTCACCCCTGCCAGCCCCGGAGGTGCCTTTCCCTGAGACGTAGACCTGCTGAGTGGCCCCGGCTGGAAAAAACAAACATACCACAGCCTGTATGGACGGCCTGCTTTTACTGACAAGCAGAGGATGAGCAGAGCCTCTGAGGGGCGTGGGAGCAGGGCGTCCCCAGCGTCGTAGGTATGTTGGGGTAGGGGGCCGGGGCTCAGAAGAAGCCCAGCTGCTTTTTCTCCTGCCGCTGTCTCCACGTGGCCATGCTGTAGAATTCCTCCTTGGATTTCCCAAAGATACCTTGGAAGTCAGAGTCTGAGAAATAGAACTGGGGGAGGTAGAGCGGAGGGCGTCACCACGGCAGCTGCCGACCACCAGGGGTTCCTGCCTCGGGCTCCTCCAGCTCAGTGGCAGATGCACCAGTGCTGGGGCAGTGAGGGGCAGGGGTCTCAGGTGCCCACCTCCCTGCGGGCAGGGTCGACGCCCTCTGGCAGGTCCTCAGCGGCCTGGTGCATCAGTTGCTCCCGGGGCAGGGCCCCATTGATCGAGGCGCTGGTGCTGCTGATGCCACCCGACTTGGGGCCCCGAATCAGCTCATTCCCTGAGCCATCCTGGGAGCCCTTGAGGGCCTGAAGGGCCATGGCACCTGCTCTGCCATTGCCTGGCCCTCTGGCTAGCTGGAAGCTGTTGACTTCCTGTCCAGAGAGGAGTCTCAGGCTGGGGAGGATGGGGACTCGGTAGCCCACAGGGAGGCTGCACTGAACCCACAGGCCTCTCCCCTCCCCCCCGCAGCCCCTCCCACCTACCAGGGCCTAGCACTTCCCCTGCCCATCAGGACCATGCCGTCAGCGCCCAGGCCCCTGCGGGGAAGCCTAGGGCCCCAGGACTCACTGCTGTTATCTCAGAGATGAGCGATGCTGTTCCCGGGCTGCCCTCCACCACTTCCTTGTTGGACAGGTCGGGCTAGAGCAAGAATGGGGGCAAGTATCAAGGCAGGAGGAGGGGGCACCAGTGGGACTCAGGAGGGGCCTGAGGACAAGACCAGGTCTCTCTCGAACACTGGCAAGCCCCAGCCCGAGCAGTGCCGCCTCCTTCCCTCAGCCCAGGTCCGGCCCCTCTCCCCTCATACTAGAGTAGGGCTAGGGTTTTCAGGTCTCACTCACAGTCCACTTGTAGGGGTCCCAAGTGAAGAACCAGCCCGTGAAGGTGGGAGGCTCGTGGCCCTGCTTGACCAGCACGATGGGTGTGGCCAGGCTCCTCCCTGCTGGGTGTGCCTTCAGGTACTCCTGGCCCCAGGCCACCGCCTTCTTCCATGCACCTGCAGCTCCCCCAAGCCACAGGAAGATCTGGGCCACAGAGGGGGCCTGACTTTTGGCATGGAGGGCTGCCCAGAGCTGACCCCTCCCTGTCCATCAGACGTCCTAGACAGAACCCCACATACACATCCCTGTCCATCCAGACCCACCCAGCAAGTGGCCCCACCCACATGTTGAACACACGAGACGGTCATGGGAATGCATGCATGCACACATTCAATCCGCAAACTTTTCTTGTGTGATTTACCTGGAGATCAATCCACAAATATTTATAAAGCACCTGCTGTATGCCGAGCATCGGTCTACGTTTTGGGGATTCAACAATGAAAGAAAATGGACAAAAATCCCTGCCCTTCTAGAGCTTTCGTGAGGGAGCAAATCGGATGGATGCCTGGGGAAAGGTGTCCTAACAAGAAGAAACCACCAGTGTAAAAGCCCCGAGGTGGCCGCGAGCCTGGCACATTCAGGGAACACAAGGAGGCTGCTGTGGCTGCCGCAGAAGCAGGGAGGGGAGGAAAGGGGGTCAAAGAGTTGGGGCTGGCCAGGTCACGCAGGGCTGGGGTAAGGGCTCTGGGTTTGTTCTTAGTGAGATGGGAGCACACAGCTTCATCACCAATTCAAACAGTGCTGGGGACACAGACTCATCCACTGCCACACACTGTCAGCCACTGTTGTCAGACACAGCTGCACACAAACACAACAGCACTGTTTGCACAGCCCCACAAACAGCCTTCCATCACTCAGCCACAGCTGGTTACAGTCTCGCGCATGCTCACCAGTTGCCACTGGTCTGGCCAGTTCTAGCGTCACGTGACCTTATAGTCACGACAAAGTGTCACAAGTGCACAAAGGCAAACGCTCACACCAAGCCACACACTGGAGTTCCACTCAGTCACCTGCAGCATCGACACACGCTTGGCCGCGGGCACTGTCACGTGTGTGGAGCCACACACGACGCAAGCACAGTTACCCGAGTCCCAGCACACCTGTCTCCCGTAGGCTCACTGCCGCCACCTGATGACCCCCTCACTCGTGGTCTCACAGGCACCGTAGCGAGACTCACCCAGACTCACCCAAAGCCCTTTGTACAGTCAGAAGGCTACATACACACCTAGTTACACAAACTGACACACCCCCGTTCACAGTCCCACCAGGCAGGGGTGGCCACCTTACCTCCTGCCAGGTGTCCAGTAACATGACGTCATACTGGCCCAGGTCCTCCTGGCTAAAGAACACCACTTCTGCAAGGACAAGGCAGCCCATCTGGCTGGAGCACTCAAACAGTCGTGGCTGGACACTGGGGACCTCCTCAGGGAGTCTGGCCAGCAAGGACAGCAAGGCTGTGAGCCACGCAGAGGGCCACACCAGCCTGTGGCACACGTGCCCCAGCCCAGGGGCTGGAAGCCACTTCTCGGGAGTGGGAGGCCTGGGCCCTCCTGGAGCCCCACCATTCCACTCCTGGAGCACTCTGCTCTGGGCACAGGGTCCCTCTCTGCTCACGGAGAAAGCTCTCGCCCACCCAGCTGTGATGCAAGCTGCCCATGAATTTCCTAGGAGAGGGCTGCAGGGGAAGGGGAGGGCCTGAGCTGCAGTCTCGCCTCCCTGGGATGGGAGCTCCTCGGCCCACCCCTGGCAGAGATCAGGTCTCCAGCCCAAGGTGGAAGGAGGAAAGGCAGGCTGGGAGACAGGAATGCCGAGCTCAGGAGAGCTGGGGGCAAGGCAGTGCAGTGCATAAACCAAGCCCCACAGACGGGCCAAGAGCGACGTGGACTCGGCTCCCTCCTCCCCTTGAGGCCTTACTCCTACCTCCTACACAGACCCTGTCTGCTTACCCAGCAGACACACGACACCCCGAATACACCTGTTCTTGCACCCTCACACGCACTGTATACCTACATGTCCTATGACACCGTAGATGCGCACACCGGGCACCGTGACCGCCGGGGACTGTAGGGTGGGGAACGTGCTTTGTCTCCTGGCCCAGGACCAAGACCGTGCAGGGAGGGGATGCTGCCAGCAGAGGGCGCCACTTCCCCACCCGCCCCAGCATCTTCCAGACCCAAGTTACTCGGGCCCGGGCGTGAAGGGTGGGCTGTGCTCCTGGGACCCTCTGTGAGGGGGAAGCTGAGAGGCCTTGGTCCTAGTCTTGTCTCTCCAGCTGTGTGTGTGAACCCCAGTCACCCATCCTCTCTGAGCCTCAGTTCCTCCTCTGGGTAAGAACACTCTCCTGCCAACCCTTTTACCTCTTGTTGCTGGGGTAGGGGGCCCGGCCTCCCAGGGCCTCCCAGAAGTGGGGCGGCTCCTGACCCTCCAGCACCGTTTCCTCGTTCTTCTTGGAAATGACAGTGACCGCCACCCGCGCCATCTCACGCTGATCACCGTTACAGCCCTAGCAGGCAAAGACATGGCTCAGGCCCTACATGAGGAGGGGTCTCACCTCCAGCCCCATATCCCATTCACAGGGTGTATGGGGAGGTACCAGGCCCAAGTTACAGGAGGCCTAAGCTGGCGGCAGGGCACCAGTGAACATGCATCTCCTCACCCTCCAGGCCTGTGTCCCTAGCTCATCTGGATCACAGGGTCTGGGACTGTCCGGGGGGTCCAGAGCATGGGTTGGGAGGCCTCTAGGCTTAGAGGGTCAGTCATAGTTTATGCTGAAAATTAGAGAAAACTCCAGCAAACTGACATAGGCCTCCCCTTTTCCCAAGAGACCTGGGAAGTAACATGCCCCGTGCTCCAGGGAGTAAGGAGGGGAGGACCTGGCTCTGCCTGTCACTTTGTAATTTTCCCTGAGTTCCAGAGGGGACACTATGTCTTCTCCTCCCCGTTTCCCCCATTGATCTATCTGAGGCTGGACTCAAAGTCTGCATCCGCCATGGAGAGGACCACCCCCCCACCTGGCACCACCACCTCTGGGCATGAGTCAAGTCGTCAGTGCTGTGGGTACCTTCCCAAACCAGAGGTAGCAGACGCCAGCTATGACCAGCAAGAAGATGTCATTGGAGTTGAGGGAGGAGGCACGAGCTGGCACCTCCACAGTCCTGGTGCTGTAGCTGTCGGTGCCTTGCACGTGGAAAAGCCTCGTGGTGGGCGCTGACTTCCCCCTTCCATAGTGCCCAGCTCTCTCCTATGGAACAGTAGGGCCTCAGGCTGGGGCAAGGGCTCCCAGGGACCCCTTCCTGTCCCACTGTGGGACATATTGCCTCAGGGCTCAGGGACCCTTGCTTGAAACCACCAAGGCCCTGACTGGTGACGTCATCTGAGGAGTATGGGATCCTCTGGGTGTGGCGGGCAGGAATCCCCTCAGTCTGGGATAAGGACCGGCCCTTTCTAAATGGACCCTTCACCCCATCTCTGAGGGATCAGGGCATGGGTGCTCAGGCCTTGGAGGTGGAAAGTGGGGACCAGTTTTGCCAGTGTGTGACCCAAGGCAAGCCCCTGGCTCCCTTTCAACTCAACTTCCTCATCTGGCTCTGGGACTGGGGAGAGAAACTCAGGCAGGGCTAACCTTGGAGCTCCTGGGACAAGCTTGGACAAGCTCCGGGAAACCAGGGAGAAGCAGGTCCCGAGCCCAAAGGAAGGTGCCGAGGAGCATGCGCAGGGGCCACGGCCCACGGAGAGGCAGGCAGGCCGCAGCGGCGAGGTGAGCCCTACCTGGAAGACCACCAGCTGGCCCTGGAAGATGGCAAGGAAGTGGGGGGGCTCGCTCCCCATGGTCACGTGCTCCTGCACTAGGGCGCCACGGTACATGGTGTCTAGCTCCTCAGCGTTGCTGTTCAGGGCCTCGATCTCATCTGCGGTGGCCTGGTGGCCCTGCAGGTAGGGCAGTGAGGGCCTGGCCCAGCTCTCCCATCTCACTCTCAGAGCCCAGCCCTTGGGCTTTAAGGTGAGTGCCGCCTCCTTCAGGCTGGCGCACCTGCCATAGGTACAGGAGGTACTGGACATGGCCCATCCTCTGGTATGTGTAGAGCACTAGGTAACAGTTGCCTGCACACAACTGTCCATGATGCTTGGGGTCCACGGGCTGCCTGCGTAAGTCCTGCATGCACCACACCTGGGGAATAGGGCACCAATGGGCACAGGTGGCTGATCTCCCTGAACCAGCCCACCCATCCTGCACCTAGCTGGAAAGCTCTCCCCAGCCTCCGAGGCCCACCCTCAGCTCCAGGCCCATTTCAGGCTTTGGGCTGGGCATGTGCAAGGATCTGCAGGTGACCCTTTCTCCATGGACTCCTGAAACCCACCACACGTGGGAGATGATGGAACCGATCCCAGCCACATGCCCAGCCGTAGTCCCGACCCCACCAACCACAGCCCTTGGTAGGGGCAGTTGGGTCCCCTCACAGCTGCTCCCTGCTCAGGCCAGGATAACAGAAGCCGGGCGGAAAGGGAAGTCTTGGAGCTCTTGAACAAGTTCCCATTTTCAAGTGTCATTTAGAAAACACAAAGCCTGTTCAAAGACCGAAGTGAAAACACCGCCTCACATCGGTCAGTGTGGTTTCTTCTTCCTGTGGGTGGCCGAGCCTGGAGCCAGGCAGACTCTGGTCACTTCCCAGGTCGGCCCTGTGTTGGCAGTGACATTGTTCCAAGCTTTGGGCCTTTCCCACCTGTATACTGGGGATGGTGACGCCTCCCTTACTTCACCTCTGCACAGCAGGAGACAATGCCTGGGTGTCCTTCCCCACCCCCCCCCCAGACCCTGGCAGTTGTCCCTGGGGAGCTGCCCTCCAGACCAGAGCAGCCAGAACGCTGCCTTTCACAAAAGGGGCTGACTCTATCACAGGCTGCCTAAGAGTGGCACTTACCGGGCAGCCAGGCCCCCTGGCTCAGGCCCTCTCTCTGCCTGCCTGTCCACTGCCTGCCAGGAGGATCCCCTTCCTGACTCTCTGCTTGGCGCCTGAGTCCTGGAGTGCTCTTTCCCTCTCCCTCATCCTCCTGTCTTCTTTCCTGTCTCCGTCTCCCCTCCCTATCTGGCTCTCCTTCTCTGTGTCTATCCCATCTCTCCCTGACTCCTCCTCCTCTCCGGTACCTCACTGCTTTCTGCTCTTCCTCCACCCAGCTCCTCCTCCCTTCCCTCTGTCTCCTTCTCATCCCTGTCCTTCCCAGTCTTTGCTTCTCTCTGTCTCTCTTTATGGTCCCTTCTCTGTCTTCCTCTTTCCCTGCTCCCCACCCCTCTCCCTTGTTGCATTTCCTCTTCTCTCAGTCTCTTCACTCATTGCTTCTGTCCATCCATATTAGAGCAAAGGAAAAAGGAAACCTTGCTATTTTCTCTGACCTCCACCTACTTCGAGAACTGGGAGCCCTCACACAGGCCCAGCAGTTCTGTTCCCACAATTTCACAGCATCCCCATATCAGCCTTGGGGCCAGATGGGACAACGGTTTCTGCCCCCATTTTATTTAAAAACTAGGGCCTAAAAAATTCAGGGCTCTGCTAGGGGGTCAGCCAACAAGATGCAACCCCACCCTATTCAGAGCCTGGAAGTGGCCCTCAACCCCTGCCTCTTGCAGAACACTGGGCTGGGACGGGATGAGTGGTTGACAGTGTATGGCTGTGAGCTGGGGTTGGGTGTGTGGAGCTGTGATTATGTGTGATCATGTGTGTGTTGGTGTGTCTGTGGGTGGTTGATGGTTGTGTGACTATGGTCATTTCTGATGTAGAGTTTTTGCAGCTACATGTTTGCAGTTGTGTACTTGGCTATGATTGTGTGGCTGTGATTATGTGCAATTACAAGGTGTATGTCTGTCTGTATGAGAGTATGTTTGATTTTGTCCTACATGTGACCATAGGGCGAATTTAAGTGTCCAAGTGTTACTGTGCTGTGTGTCTGTTGTGTGAGTGCCTATTGCTGTGTATGAACGCCTGTTAGGAGAGTGTATAAATGTACGTGTCCTTTGGTGTCCCTGATTGTGTGTGGATGTGCAGCTGAGTCACTTTAGATAGCAGTGATACCGTTCACATGTAGGCAAAGCTTACCTCCATGTCCCCATCTTCCCCCAGCTAAGCCATTGCCCCTCACCTCCACCTTCCCAGAGCCGTCGTCCACCATCCTGAGCTGGGCGGCTAACTCAGGCTGGCTGTGCAGCTTGCCCACGTCCAGCTTTACATGAATCAGTTTATCTGAAGGTGGGGCAGCAGGTGTTAGTTGCACCTTCTGCCCCATCTCTTCCCACACCATCCCCGCCCCGCCTACTTCTCAACCATCCGGCAAGATTCCAGGCCCTGCTCCGTCCTCGGCTGGCCACGCCCCTTTTCCCCAACCCAAGAAGGTTCTGTCTCACCCCCTGGGGCCCCTCCCCACCCACTTACCCATCCTTCGGAGCAGCCGTTTCCTGCCAGGCCCCACCCCCTCCAGCTCACTCCGCCCCTCACCCGTCCCACCAAGCTGCAAGTTCCGGCCAGGCCCCGCCCCCTTCATCTCACTCCACCCACTCACCCGTCCCGCCGAGCTGCAGGTTCCTGCCAGGCCCCGCCCCCTCCGGCTTGCTCCGCCCACTCACCGATCCTGCTGAGCCGCCGGTTCCTGCTCCGCTTCTCAGTCCAAATCCGGAAGAGCTGCTTGAACGCGGCCGACTCGGCGCCGTCGTTCACCACCTCCACGTTGGTGTAGGTCGGGTAGCCCTTGGCCTGGATGAAGCCCTGGGGCGGAAGGCACCGTCAGTCCTGCGACCGAGTCCACTGTTCCACTCCCGCCCCCCAGAGACCTACCCCCTGGGACAGCCAAGCTCTGAGAAGCGTTAATTAACCGAGCCCATGACCCACTTAACGAACTGACTCTGTCACCACCGACTTCTCTGAAGTCCCTGAGGGCAGGCAGGGTCCCCTTGGTCCAGGCCTCAGACAGGACAGGCCAAGTCAACCCTCACGGACCCCAGGCAGAGCCCTGTCTTCCCACCCAGTCCCACCCTGAGAAAGCGGGGCCGCCCAGTCAGTAGGTGCCCCAGGACCTGAAGACAGGGCCACGTGCCCCTTTTACACATGGTTTCTTCACTCTCAGGGCTCACAGGGCGGGGCTACTACCCCTTTAAGACTCCGGCATAGGATGTTTCCCAAGTCTAACTCCAGGGTAGGGCTGATTCCTCCTTAGATCCGGGCCAGTGCTGCCTCCACACGAAGACCCTAGGGCAGTGCTCTGTTGCTCTCAGACTGGGCCCCAGGGCTCACCGCAGCCCGGCTGAAGGCAGCCTTTCTCTCCTGGAGGCTAGACAGGCGTCCCTGCCACACATAGATCTTGAAGCCTCCCTGGTCCAGGATGTAGAAGTCCTGGGAGCAAGGGTGGGGCTGGTCAGTAGGTGGTCCCAGTGGGTGGGGAAGGGTGCGAGTGACTGGGGCCAGGCCTTCCTCACCTCCTCCTGCAGCAGATCCTGGGTCAGTGGGGGGGTCGCCAACTCCAGGACCACCAGGTCTTTGCCCTTCTCATAGATACTAGGGGGACAGGAACCCAGGTGTGGCCAGCCCAGCCCCTCCCTGACCTGGCTCCACCCCAGCCCAGCCCCCCAGAGACAAAAGGCATGGGGGCTGGAGCCCTGAGTTGTAGTATTGACTTTACTGCAGTCTGCTGTGGAGCTTTAGGCAGTTCCCTGGCCCTGGCAGAGCGCCATAGTCCCTCTGTCAGTACAACAGGTTTCTCAGCGAGGCAGCCACACACCATGTAAGAGTATGGGCTGGAGCCGAGATCGTGCCACTGCACTACAGCCTGGTGACATTGCAAGACTCCATCTCAAAAAAAAAAAAAAAGAAAGGAGTACAGGCTGGGCCCACAGTCCACGTGACCTGTTCCAGAAACCCAGCAGCCTTTTCTGGAGGGCTTTGTAGAGGTGCTGTGTTACTGCAGTAGTGATGGACACAGAGTCCTGGACTGCCCCACCCACGCTGCCCACCCCAAGTGTGCTCACTGGTACAGGCAAATATTGGCCTTCTGCAGCTGGTTGATATCCTTGTTGGGCATGGCGGCACACAGGCTGCCCACCCTGCGGCCCAGCACAGACTCCATGATCTGCATGAGGTCCGGGGCTTTGACCTCATCATCTACCACGCCAATCTGTGCACGACCACCACGTTCCCTGTCCCGGATGCTGTAGGTTAAGGCTAGCCCCTGCGGGAGAAGACCTGGCAGTCAGGGTGTCACCCGTGTGCCCCCTCACAGCACAGACTTCTCCTGTCACTGCTCAGCTCCCAGAGGCTGGTGGGGAGAATGGCTGGTGCTCCCTCATCCTAGCATCCAGGGGACACCAACAGTGCAGGGTCTGAACTCAGCTTGGACCTCATAGGCATTTCTTGGGTTGTGGCAGATAGCCATGCCCAACTCTTGGGGTGGCTGAAGGATGGGCACTTGGAAGACCATTCCCCGACAAACCCCGTACTCTCAGTTCCGTGGGCAGACACTAACCCGAGCCTTCTCAGAAATGCTGGTCTTGGGCCCATTCCACTGAATCATCATCTTGCCTAGGTCCAGCAGGAAGATGTCACCCTTATTGAAGCTGTTCCAGGAGAGCTCCACCTACCAGAGCCAGGAGCAGGGAGGGGGACAGGGCGTCACACCACCAGCATCTGCTAGACAGAAGCACGCCTGGGATGTGTCACCTGGTGCATGAAGTTGTATGCATCTGGGTGTACGTAGGCATGTGTGACTAGGCAATGCTGCATTTCACAGGGTGTACGTGACTTATGACACTTCTCAATGCATGTCTGTAGCTCTGTGTGTACACATGTATACAGGTGGGGTGCATCTGTTTATCTTTTGTGTTTGCATATATGCATGTATGTATGTGGGGAGATCACATGTGAACAAGTGTGTGTGCTCATGGTGACAGTGTATACCTATGGATAATGATAGTCTCCAAATAGAGACACTTTTGTGAGTGAAAGGCAGTACTTTCAATTATGATGCCAGGATAATAGGAGAAACATGGAGCTTCACGGTGTCCCCCAGTGCCCCGGGATGTATGGTCATTGGGTCTGTGGGTGACAATGCAGAGCCTATGTGGGATTATCTGTGTGTCACAGGGCTGCCCGTGCAGACCCACTTGCATACCTCAGGCATTCCCATCACACTGTAGACGTTGTACAACTGAATGTTCATGACACCAAATTCTGGCCAGATGGCAGCAAAATGTTTTGTTCTAACAAAACCAGTATTTTTCTTTAATTTCCTGACAGATGGAAGAAAGGAGTGCTGTGTTCCGATTTGTACAAGGGCACTATATGCACTACATGGACCGGAGGCGCACCCAGGGATAACAGCGGGGACAATGTGTGCGTACGGGTGGTAATGACAGTGTGTGTGAGGTTATGCCCTCCTCCCGAGTTGTGCGCTGCCTCTCGCTGTGCTGCTAACAAGGACCATTCATTGGTGCCATATCGTCTGCCCCATCTGCCCAAGGTCTTTTTAGAGAGAGGGTCTTTCTCTGTCACCCAAGCTGCTGCAGTACAGTGGTGTCATCATGAATCACTACAGCCTCAAACTCCTGGGCTCAAGTGATCCTCCTGCCTCAGCCTCCCAAGTATCTGTGCCCAAGTTCTTAATATGTCTGTGAGACAGATGCAGAAACAAAAGGTCTGGGGAGCACTGGCAGAAGTGAGGCTAGAAGCCTGGTATCCTCTCTGTTCTGGTTCAAGACCATCTGGGAATGCTGACAGCTCCTTGTCCTCCACACCCCCAGCCAATTTCCAGTTCCTTATATCTCAGCACACCCAGTCTGAGCCTAGTCCAGAGGTCAAGAGGCTCCCCTGGCAGCAGCCTTACCTCAGTGGCAGACATGTGTTTCCTCCCTTTGATGTGCAGCAGTCGCTGGATGTTGAACATGTTGGTCTCCACATGCTTGAGGTCAGACGGCAGACCTCCCTTCCTGTAGCTGAGGACGGAATAGCAGGAGGGTATCACGTAAGAACACAGATTGCCATGTACACGAATGACTGCAGATGTGAGCACATGCACGTATGCTCCTGCTTAACACATTGGAGTCTGTGTGAACACATGTATGTATAAGCCCATGGGTGAACACAGGACATGAGTGTGCATTTGTTTCCATGTGTAGTCATGTGGACACATGCATATACGTGTACATGTACATACATTTGGGGCATAGTATATATTTGTTTATCCCTGTAAATCTAGATGTGAGTGCAAGGAAGTGGGCAACAATCGGGGCGCGGTGGCTCATGCCTGTAATCCCAGCACTTTGGGTGGCCAAGGCGGCTGATCACTGGAGGTCAGGAGTTTGAGACCAGTCTGGCCAACATAGTAAAACCTCGTCTTTACTAAAAGTACAAAAAACTAGCTGGGTGTGGTCGTGGGTGACTATAATCCCAGCTACTCAGGAGGCTGAGGCTGGAGAATCACTTGAACCCAGGAGGCAGAGGTTGCAGTGAGCCAAGATCACGCCACTGCACTGCAGCCTGGGTGATGGTGGAAGACTCCATCTCAAAAAAAAAAAAAAAGTGGGCAACAGCATGTGTGTGGGTAGGTCACCATGGATATTCACACATGTCCATCTACAGGTGGACATACATGGGGGTGGTATGTGTTTCTGTATCTGCACATATGCCTGTGTGCATGCGTTCATGTATATACTATATGCATGGATTAGGTTCAACTCTATGAAATGAAAATGATCAAATAAGAGCAATTTCCTGTATGTCCAAATGTACTGCAAGTGCTAATTTAAAAAACCTGTGAAGCAATTTACATCGAAACATATATTCCTACCAGCACTGTAACATAAAAGCAAACTCAAAACAACACTGGTGTCTGCTCCTGGGTATATACCAAGGGAAATGAAAACATAAGCTTGTATACAAATGTTCATAAACAGATTCATAACAGCCCCAAAGTGGTAACAACCCAAATGTCCATTCAGTGACGAAGTAATAAAATGTGGTATCTTAATAACATGCAATATTACTCGGCAATACAAAGAATAACACACACCACAACGTGGATAAACCCGAAGATAGTGCGCTGAGCAAAAAGAGCCCGTCAGGGAAGAGCACTTGTTGAATGATTCCATGTCTATGACACGCCCGGAAGAGACAAATGGATAAACAGGAATTAGATGAGTGGTTGCCGAGGGCAGAGGATGGGGGTGCTGGAGGGAAATGAGGAGTGACTGCAAAGGGGTGTGGGGCTTCTTTCCGGGGTGATGTAAATATTGCAAAGTTGACGGTGGTGATGGCTGCACACGTCTGTTAAAAATCGCTGACAGGTATGTGTACTTTTTTTTTTTGAGACGGAGTTTCGCTCTTGTTACCCAGGCTGGAGTGCAATGGCGCGATCTCGGCTCACCGCAACCTCCGCCTCCTGGGTTCAGGCAATTCTCCTGCCTCAGCCTCCTGAGTAGCTGGGATTACAGGCACGCACCACCATGCCCAGCTAATTTTTTTTTTTTGTATTTTTAGTAGAGACGGGGTTTCACCATGTTGACCAGGATGGTCTCGATCTCTTGACCTCGTGATCCACCCGCCTCGGCCTCCCAAAGTGCTGGGATTACAGGCTTGAGCCACCGCGCCCGGCCCAGGTACGTGTACTTTAAATGGGTGAGTGGCGTGGCGCATGAGCTGCATCTCAATAAACGTGTTAGCGAACCCCTCCCTCCCGGCGTTCCCCATTCAGGGGATGCGGACGTCGGCCCTCCCAAGACGGCGCCAGCCGAGGCACCGACTCCACGGCTCTGTCCCACACTCACATGATTCCCGGGCGGAAGTAGCTGCGGAAGCAGTCGGACTCGTGGGCCTGCGCCTCGCGGTGCAGCACGGTCAGGGTCCCCCGCTCCTCCTGCAGGTGCTGCACGAAGGTGGCCGCGGCGCCCTGCGCCTCCGCGCCCGCCTCCTTCCCGACCCAGTAGTGCAGGTCGCTGGACGCCCCCTGTGTGGCCTTCAGGCTCTGGGGGACAGGGTCCGGGTGTTTGTGTACATGTGTTGCAGGGGAGGCGAAGGTGCGGGTGGAGAAGGGGAGGTTGGACCAAGGGCCACGGGGAGGCGTGGGGCGGGGGCTTCCGCGGGCATCAGGAAGCGGGAGGGAAGGGCCAAGGAACCTCTACGGCAGCGGCCCCCTTGTGGGATGCGATTCTCGGGCTCCCAGCTTGCCGCTTCCTAGGGCAGAGGTATGTCTGTGCTCCAGTTTCCCCAGTGCTGGGCCGTGTCACCCCTCTCAGGCCGCCTTCCCCAAGCAACTCACGTGGAGGACGACATAGCAGTGCTCCTCAAAAAAGTTCCCGTAAGCCCCCTCGGGTACCGGAAGCATCTTGTGGTTCTAGGAGAGGACAGTGTGCTGTAACGACACAGGAGACCCCTCTGGGGTCCGGTGGAGGACGACGCTCTGAGTTGGGGGCAGGAGAAGCCTGGTGTGGGAGACCCCACGCTCTTCCGGGTCAGCACCTCTCCTATCTGGTCGTGCCTCTCACCTCAGTGATCCATATGTGGAGGTCCCTGTGGCCCTGGATGGCTGGAAGGCCCTTGCTGATGTCCATCCTAGGCCAGGCAGGAAGAAGGCAGAGGGGAGGAACAAGAGCCCCAGTTCTCAGGCTGGAGACCTGCGCCTGGCCACCTGTACAGCTTCGTCACAGAACACGACTTTTGTTAGGAGGGCTCTGTAAACACACAGACTATCTCTGAAGACTGACAGACTCTGCAGCAAGTGACGGGCCCAGCTAAGATGAGTGGGTTGGGTAGATCAGGCATAAACACTCTTGACAAATTCTTTTTTCAGTTTTTTTGAGACAGGGTCTTGCTCCGTCACCTAGCCTGCAGTGCAGTGGTTCCAACAGTTCCCTGAAACCTCCACCTTCTGAGCTCAAGTGATCCTCCCACTTCAGTTGACAAATTCTTGAAACAGAGCTGAACTCTGTATAAACACAGGCTCTGCAAACTGTGATTCAGCTGGCTTGAGTCTGTGCTCTGTGATTCTGCATGTGCAGAGGAGGGACAGAATGAGAGGGCAGTGAGTTACAGTGACATGGAATGAGAAGTACCTGGGGAAGGAAGGGACCCTCACTTCTGTCGACTTTGTTACGTCTTGGCACTTCACACTCAAGTACCTTGGGTTTCCCTGCACCACTCCTTCAGAAACCTGTGTGAGACGTTTGGTCCAAAAGTCACTTCTTTCTCAGCCTCTCACTCAGGGTGACCCTGGTGTGTTAGTCCTTCCTCCCTCCCCTCCACTCCCACTGTGTCTTATCAATAGCAGGAACACCGTTGGCTCCAGGCGGAACAAGGCAAGAGAGTTACAGAATCAGGCGTAGCACAATAGGTGGCATAGAGTGGCTAGCATTCCTTACATCTTTGTCAGGGCCCCTGGCTTGGCCGTGGTGAGCTCACAGGACATTGTGGCAACACCCAACAGATAGCCACGGAAATGTGGTGGGAGCGAGGTGGCTGTGGGGCAGGGCAGGCAGGGCGGGCGGTCCTTCTAGGGGGTTAGAGCCGGGTCCATCACAGCTCACAGCCCCTCCTGACACCCTATGGAAACCATAGGATGGTTGCTGGCTGTGGCCTCCCTCACCAGAGCAGGGGTTTGTCCTCTTCTTTACTGTGGGATCCCAGCTGCCTGGTCCCCAGCAGGTACTTGGTAAGTTGTTGAATGAGTGACGTGTGCTGCCCGTGACTGGACGGAGTGAAAATGAATGGAGAAGGGAGTCGCCCGTGCACCCTAAGTGCCCCAAGAACTGTTGCCACAGCTGATGGCCTGTTGGTGTGACAATGACATGACGCCGGGCGCGGTGGCTCACGTCTGTAATTCCAGCACTTTGGGAGGCCGAGGTGGGTGGATCACGAGGTCAAGAGATCGAGACCATCCTGGTCAACATGGTGAAACCCCGTCTCTACTAAAAATACAAAAAATTAGCCGGGCATGGTGGCGTGTGCCTGTAGTCCCAGCTGCTCGGGAGGCTGAGGCAGGAGAATTGCCTGAACCCAGGAGGCGGAGGTTGCGGTGAGCCGAGATCGTGCCATTGCACTCCAGCCTGGGTAACAAGAGCGAAACTCCGTCTCAAAAAAACAAAAAAACAAAACCAAAAACAAACAAAAAAAAGACAATGACATGAGTGACAGGCAGACATAGTGGCCATGAAAAGGTGACCTCAAGCAACAGAAAACGTGAGGACACGGAGTTGCAAGCAGAGTGACAGGCAACGGTGGCCCTGTAGAAGGACACTGAGTAACAGGCAGAAATAGTGACCAGTGACGGTGACCAGGGGCCCAGGCAGGCAGTGACCAGAGGTGCAGACAGGAACTGTGAGCTGTAGCTCATGGAAGGGTGCAACACGGTGACAGAGTGCCAGAAAGACTACTGATTGGCTTCAGAACAGTGGCAACCAGGGCCCAGGGGGACAGGAAAGTCAAACTGGCTGCCAGAAAGTTGGGGTGGGGGGCGGGGAAAGCATCGCCCCTGGGGGACCGGGAACCTGTCTGATATCCAGCCCCAGCCTGTGGAGCCAAACCCTCAGCTGCCAGGGCTGGAGTCCCACTCACATGGCACCTGTGTTCACTGTCTTCCATCGGGGCTCCGGGGAGGGGGAACCAGTGCTCAGAGTGGGGGCCTCCTCCCTCCCCACAGTGCCCTCTCCAGGCTCCCAAGCCCTCCTGCCCTCCTTCCTCTGGGGAACTCCCTTTCACCACCTTCCTAAATGGGAACACTCCTACCTCTTGCCCTCTCCCTCCTCCTCCTCTTCCTGAGGGCCCACTTCCTCCACTCAGGGCCCCTTTCTCTTCTGGATGCCCAGTTCTTTCCCTGGCTTCCCTTTCTCTCCCCCTGCCCCACACCTCCCCTTTTCCAGGGTTTCCCTCTGTCCCCGCTGGGTGCCCTGCCTCCCCTTGGCTCTCCCTTTCCCCCGACGTCCCCTCTCCCCTGGGATCCTTACCTTTTCCTCCCACTTTTCCTCCCCAGGCACCTCCTGCTTTCCAGGGTTCCTCGTCTTCCCCTACCCCACTTCCCTCACTCTCCTGGTCTTCCTTTCTCTTCCCTGGGCTCCCCCCTCTTTCCCAGGGTACTCCTTCCTCCTTCAGACCTCCCCCCCTCGAGTCCCTGGGTGCCTCCTCTCTCCTGGCCCACTCCCTCTTCCAGCGCCTCTTTCTCTCCCCACAGGCGTCCTTCCTGCCCTTCCTCCCTCTGTGGGTACCTGTGAAGGGAGCCTGAGATTACCTTGCCCAACTTCCATGAAGCAGGGAATGGTGCCGCCCTCTGGAGTGAGGGGAGAGGAGGAAGCTGCCAGGGCTGGGGGCAGGCACCCTGTGTCTGTGGGCCATGGACTTCCCTACCCACCTACAAAAACAAAAGCCGCCTCTTTCTTCCCCTGGGGCTGCCAGCCACAGTTACCTTGCCCCATCAGCATTTTCACCTGCTGGGTTGCTGCCTGCCGCCAAGGAGGCTCGTGGCCCTCAGCCCTGGGAACCTGTGCTCCACGCCCTTGACTCCAGCAGCCCACTCTCTGCTCCTCTGCTTTCCTGGGACCTCCGCTCCCCGCCCAGGCCTACCTGCTGGAAACTGCTCCTGCACCTTCACTCTGCCTGTGGGCAGTGCTGGGCCTGGCACGGTGCCAGTCTCTGCCTCCCCACTACTGGCCCCAGCCACTGTAACTCAATCCCAGCTCCTGCCCGGCAAGACACACCCCACCATGAGCGCTCAGCCAGCTGGGCATTCACTTAGTCAGTCAACAAATACTGGCCAAGCTGCCTGGGGACAGTGCCCTCCCCAGAGCTATGGCTAAGTCTGCCAGACCTCACTGGCTGAGTACCCATGGCCAGAGAGAGCAGGGGATGGAAGCCTGGACTGGGCTAAGGGGTGGGGTGTGGAAGATACTGGGGTTTCCTCCTCTGGGCTACTAGATGGGTCCCTGATACCTCACCCTGGGGTGTTGGGCTCCCCCTGGACCCAGAGGGCCAGGCCACTCCAGCAAACTAGGAGGAAGTAGGACCGAGGCTGTGGGCTGTGGGGTCATGCTCTGAGAGACCCAGTTCACTTCAGGAGGTGGGGGAAGGTGGCCAGAGCTCCCTCTAGATATTCCTGCTGTCCCTGCCCAAGTGCGGGCTCACTGCCTGGCACAGTTCTCCCCAGGGAGCCCTGATACCCACCATGGGAGAGGCCAGCCCGGCTCTTGCAGCGAAGACACCTCTCCCCCACCCCACTGCCACTCTCTCTCTCACTGTGGGGTAGAGGGGCTGCAAATAGAGCCTTCCAGAAACTCCAGGGGCACAGCCTCCTCTTGGTTTAGGGCACAGGCCTCAGTCCCAGCCAGGGCCCAGCCAGCGTGGGCCGTCCCATCAAAGCCACGCTGCTAACGCCTGCCCACCGCCCACGACCCTCTCCCTGTGCTCAGTCTTCACCCCACAAAGGTGGGGTGTGTTTAACAGACACCATGCAGCGTCCCTGTGTGAAGGGATGCCTGTGTCTCGGGCACCTGGTTCATCTCCATGTGTGCCATTGCCTGTCCAACCTCACGTGTCTAAGCCCCACTTGGGACAGGGTCCCTGTCTGTGACAGTGGCAGTGTGTACGCCGCATCTGCACATACCCATTTCCCTGTCCCCTTTTGTCCCTGTGCCCAGGAAAACTGTGCCCCACTTCTCCCTACCAACTCTTCCCCCATCTCCCCTCAGCCCACCCCCTCTGTTGGGCTTGGTTCCTGAATTCCCTGGAAATGGCTCTTTCTGAAGTCACCAGTGCCCGCTCTCGTGCAGGCGGCAGTCAGTCCAGTCACCATCGTCCCTTCCCTCTCCGCACATTGCTGAATGGCAGCAGGTGCACAGCTCGGGCCTGCGCCCCAGTTTTCTAGTTTACTTCCCAGTTCCAGTCTGAAGGCTGCAAATACTGGAAATGCCAGTGTCTCTCTGACCCGGCTCCCCCCAGCCCTGCCCAGACTCACTCTCCATCTTCCATCTGCTCACCTGGCATGTCTGACTTCACACTTAACATGGCCTCAGCCCCCACCCCCAGATCGACCCTCTGTGAGCCCTGGGAACATGTTCAGTGTGAACATCCAGTGGGTGCTTAGGCCTCAAACTTGGAGTTGCCTGGGTTTCTGTCTCCTTCGCCCCCCGCCCCGAGCCAGTGGCCAGTCGGCGGCTGGTTCCTGGCGGATCCCGGGCCTGGCCTTCCCTCCTGCACCTCCTGCCTGCTCGGGAGTCAGCTTCCCTCTGAGTCTCTGGCCTGCCTGGCCACTGTGGCCATCCTCCCACAGTAGCCAGAGGGATCTTTGTTTCCCCTCAAGATTTAAAAAACTGTGGTAAAATATCCTTCAAAATTTACCATTGTACCCCCTTTTCAAAATTTATTTTTGAGACGAAGTTTCACCCTTGTTGCTCAGGCTGGAGTGCAGTGGCGTGATCTTGGCCCATTGCAACCTCCGCCTCCCAGGTTCAAGCAATTCTCCTGCCTCAGCCTCCCAAGTACCTGGGATTGCAGGCGTGTGCCATCACACCCAGCTAATTTTCTATTTTTAGTAGAGACAGGGTTTCACTATGTTGGCCAGACTGGTTGCAAACTCCTGATCTCCAGCAATCCACCTGCCTCGGCCTCCCAAAGTGCTGGGATTCCAGGTGTGAGCCACTGCGCCTGGCCTGTATCCGCTTTTAAGTATACAGTTCTGTGGCGTTAAGGACACTCATATTGTGCTACCACTGCCACCATTTCCAGAACTCTTCCATCTTACAAAACTGAAACTCTGTATCCATTAATCACGGACTCCCAGCCCCCAGCCCCTCGTAACCACCATTCTAGTTTCTGTGATTTTAACTAGAACGAGGCCCCTCACCTCAGAATTTATCCAGAAACCCGCTCACACCACCCCCTCTCCAAACCTTCCAGTGGCTTCGCTAAAACTGGGATGCAACTCCCAATGGCCACTGCTGGCTGCCTCTCCCGTCACTCTCCCCATGGCTCATGCATCTGGCAACACGATTCTTTGTGCCCCTTGAAGACGCCCAAGTTGTTGTCTGCAGAGCTTTGCACTTCGGCTTCTCCGCCTGGAGGCCCCACTCTGTCTTCCCGCAGCTGCTGCTCCTTTGCTGCATTTAGGCCCCAGCCATAATTGCAGCTCCGTGGAGGGCCCTTCCCGCCCTCCTTAGCCACAGCCGCCCCCCTCCACAGGCATCACCACTTTCCTCATCATGGTGCTCCAAGAACCTGGGCTCCTTGCTAAGTGAGATCTTTGCCCCAGCTGTGCTGTGGGTCCCTGCGGGCAGGGCCTTGCTCATGTCCACCTGTGTCTAGAATGGTGCCTGGCACACTGCAGCTGCTCAATAAAGTGTTTGCCAACACGTTTCTGTGGCCTGTGCCTGACTTGGTGTGTGTCTGTTTGGACCCTTTGCTGGGCCTGTGTGTCAAGGGGTGTTTGCTGACATGTTTCTGTGGCCTGCGCCTGTGTGTGTGTGTGTGTGTGTGTCTGGATCCTTTACTGGGCTGAGTCCTCCTTCTCTAAGAAGCTGAGGGGGTGTTTGCTGACATGTTCCGCGGCCTGCGCCTGACCGTGTGTGTGTCTTTCTGTCTGGACCTAGCTGAGTCCTCCTTCTCTGAGAAGCTGAGAGGTGACCCTCCTCTACTTTGGTTGTAGGCCAGATACCCCAGGTGGCACAATCCAGGGTCAGCAGCTTAGTGGGGGGCAGGAGAACTTCTCCAAGGCCCTGCCCCTCAGAACTGTCTGGGTCTCTGCAAACCAGATGTCGCCTGGACAGAGCTGTCCTGTCCAGAACCACCTACTCTGTAACCTGTGATCCCGGGCCCAGGAGAGATGGCAGGCTGGCCTTAGAGCCTGGCCTGGGCGGAGATGAGCAGCACTGCCTTGAGTCTGGCCTGGGCAGCCTCTGGCTCACAGCTGTCACACTCCAAGCACACAGAGGGGAAACCGAGGCCCAGGCAGGCTCACAGGCAGCCGGATGTTACAAGAGTGGGAGTGTGGGATGCCCAGCCTTTCCCTCCCTCCTCCCCCTAGCAGGAAGGGGGTCCCACCACTCCACCTAATCCCCACCTCCACCCTTCAAGGGGGCCTGCCAGGAATCAGAAGGGCCCTGGGCAGTTTGCCTTGCTAGCAAGTCCCCACCCTCTTCCTGCCCCAGCCCCCGCCCCCCCACAGTCTACCACCCCCCCACCCAGCAAGTTTCCAGCGCTTGGGGCTGACTTTGTTCCCACCTAGCTTATCTCTGAGGCCCAGCCCGCTCCATGTCAATATTGACTCAGGTGAAGGAGTGGCCCCAAGGTAAGTCCAGGCTCCGCCCCAGTTTCTCTGGGCTCGGGCCTCCTCCCCTAGGCCTTCTCCAGTCTCTCCTCACCTCTCTGGGAGTCCGGGCTCTGGGAGGAGGTCCCTCCCTGACGGCAGACAGGGATGGGGAGGAGAGCAGCTGACTCAGGTCCTGGAGCCCACTGCTTGGAGACGTCCTGGCTCCTTGTACTGGAGGGGAGCAGCCATGGGCCTGCATGTGTCCCCATATCTGGTGGTCCCGCCCTGGGCCGCAGGATGTGGAAGGAGCCATGGCAACGGTCACGGGGCTTGCATAGGCTGGGGTGACTCCTCCAAGGACACCATGGGAACTGCAGGATGCGAGGACAGACCAAATGCCAGCCCTGGGCCCCTGCAAAGAGGTGTCACTGCCTTGCCTGCTGTGGGCCTGCCCAGCAGCACACCCGCCCATTAGGACCCAGCTTGGGTCAGGAAAGCCCCTGGCCTGTTGGAGGGGTGGCGGTGCAAGGCTGGGGTCCATGCCTGGTGGACAGTTGGGGGCTCTACTCTGCTTCCCACCTGTGTGAAAGCAGGTGCTGCCAGCCAGGCGGGGGTCTTAGCAGGCCTCCCTCCTCACCCCTGCCTCGGGAAAGGCTCCCAGTGCCCAGGTGGGCTTTTCTCTGTACTTTTCTGGATTTTCCAGGTTTTTAGCAGTGAACATGTATATGGCTGATCTCCTATTAGGCAGAGCAACACGGCATTTTCCCCAACGCTCTGGCAGCAGGAGCCTTGCCACGCCTGGGCATCCGGTCCGGAACAGTTTTGGAGGACCTGCCTTTCCTCTGTAGCCAGTCAGAGCAAGGGGTCAGCCCTGGCTGCTCTTTCTAGTAATCTTGGCACTTAAATACATGACACAGGGCTGGGCATGGCGGCTCACCCAGCCACCAAAGTGTAATTCCAGCACTTTGGAAGGCCGAGGTGGGTGTATCACCTGGGGTGAGGAGTTTGAGACCAGCCTGGCCAACATGGTGAAACCCCACCTCTACTAAAAATACAAAAATTAGCTGAGCATGGTGGCAGGCACCTGTAACCCCAGCTACTTGGGAGGCTGAGGCAGGACAATCGCTTGAACCCAGGAGGCAGATGTTGCAGTGGGCCAAGATCGTGCCATTGTACTCCAGCCTGGGCGACAAGAGCAAAACTTCGTCTCAAAAAGAAAACAAACAAAACCAAACAAACAAAAAAACCATGTCACAGTCCCCACCTGCGGAGATTGGAAGTGGTCTGGGTGGACTTGAGGCATGTATGTTTGGGAGCCCACCGGTGAGCGTGCAGCAGAGCTGAGAACCACTGCGCCAGGAGAGGGCGCCGTAAGGGAGGTCTGGGGTGGAAAGCTCTGGGGCCGTATCTTCCTCCTCATGGCCTCTGTTCTCAGAGGTCAGGCTGGTGGCCATGCCGGCTGTTGGTGGCTCTGGGCCTTGAACAGCCTGCTAACCCCCAGCCAGCCCTGGCACAGATTTACTGTGCAAGCGTCCAGATTACGCCACAACTCGGCCACAAGCCCTCAACGCACTCCTTATCTATAAACTCAGCAGACTTCGTCTGCTAATATGCCACTGTTCCCAGGCTGGCTTTTCCCAGCCATTGCTCCCCACCCTCCTGGGCTTCCTGTCCTGTCATACAGACAGATACTATGTGCTCAAATAGAAAACATCAGAGGCATATCTCAGCATGCCTAAGTCCCCCGTAAGCGCCCTCTTGATGCCCTGGGTGTCCTTCCCACTTATTTCTGGGATCAGTGGACACGCAGGATACCTCAGCCTCAGGCACTGCCACCGTTCTGGCGTTTTATCTGTTTGCCTGTATGCAAGGGTGCAAAGAAGTGGGGTATGGGGTTGATGCCAGAGAAAGTAGAGAGGGACAGAGAGGGCTAGAGAGCAGAATGAAGGACACAGCCTAGGAGTCTGGAACCATGGGAGGAAGCTGCGGGGACTTCTCTCGGGCCGGCCAGCTGCTCCACTGCGATGACCAGGAACCTAGGGGCATGGCGCAGGCTTAGCTGTGGGGTATTTGCGGTGTTGTCTCTGGGTGAATATTAGGTCTCCTGGGCTGACACACATGCTGTGTCCCGAGTTATTTGGGTTGAATATACATGCCTGGCAGAATCCTGTGTCTTGTGAGGAGCAGACTGCAGTAGTTTGTCTCACTGGCCTGTTTTCTCATCCACAAAATTGGGATAAGACTTACCTGATGAAACTGACACTGGTGCTCTCAGAATTAGATATCATTATGAAGAGACAGAGTCATGAGAGTGGTGGAGCCATGTCTATGTCCCTGCCGGGAGGCCCTGGCAGAGAAGGACTCGCTGCCTCCCTCGCCTGCACATACAGAGGGGCTGGGCTGAGCACACTGGCGACAGATTGTCTCCCTGTGAGAAACCGCCTGGCACATCCTGACTCGTCTTCTGACTCCTTGCCATGCTTCATCTGGCAACCATCTCAGCCACTGTGCCCATGGGTATGGGTTTGGGCACCACACATAATGCCTGTGGCTCTTATGGGGTGGGAGGCCCCAGTTCTCTCAGGCTGCATTTTTAAGCCTGCTGAGAGGGGTGGAATCTTTGTGGGAGGACAGGGAGCCACACTGCTTCTGGAGAGAGGGGGCCGGAGGGCTCAACAGCAGTCACCCTGGAGTGACAGGCAATTTAGGTGGGATGGCTTTCTGGCTCCAGGATGAGCTAGAAAATCAGACTGTGGCTCCTGGGGTGGTGCAGCCCTACTCCCATCCACCCCCGTGCCCCAGAAGGGAGGACACGGGGAGACCCAAGGTGAAGGCACGAAGCAGGCAGGTGGCGGAGAAGGCAGGGAGGAGAGAGCTGCTGGTAGAGAAGCAGTCCATCCACAAGAGAGTGCAGTTTCACATGTTTATTTTTGGCAGGAAGGAAATCATTGCAAACCTTTTGATTGACAATATTTGCCCCTGGAAACGTGCACATTACACATGTAGCATTTCCCAAGTAATGCTGGATTGTGTATCACATTCAAACGTCCAACAGAAATCCATGATTACCCAGACACCAGCATCTCCACTACCCAGGGTGGGGGAGGGTGTGTCATCTGCAGAGAAGCTCCTGGGAGAATGGAACAGGAACAGACATGATCAGATTTACAGTACAGTAGGAACAGAGGCAGCCAGCCAGTTTTGCACAGTTAATCAACTGTAAGAACATCAAACTACCAGCTCTCCTCAAACCCTGGCATGCCAGCTGTCCAGCACAGCACCTTGAAAAGCAGAGGCACAAACGTAGGAGTGTTTGACCATAGGGCTGTGTGGTTCCAGATTTTTTATTAGAAAGCCATCTTTAAAAATACAGGGTTGTAAAATGGTGCCAGGTCATAGACTTACAGATTTTTTTTTTTTACACCAAAAGTTCAAATGCTGCAACCAGGACAAGCCAGCATCATTAGGGCATCCTTGTGTACCCAGAGACATCTCATCAAAAGTGCACCACGTCAAAGGAGCTTCCTCACCATCAACAGTGGCAGGTGGCATTCCTTTTTCAGTATGCAAAAACGCACTGTTTACAAACAGCTAATGCATGGACCCACAGACCAACACGCAGAATTCCTGAACAAATGGAAGACAGAGCATTAACAACATCGGGAGTGCCTGGGCACTTCCCCTGGAGGCATGGCTGGAGAAGTCAGAACATCAGAGTGGGCTGGAGTCCACAAACCCAAGGTGTCCTGCCCCAGAGCTTAATGTCAAAGATACTTCTCCAGAAGACGACATTTAAACCTGGTACAGAAAGGACCCTGGAAACTCAGGAGGTCAGGGTCCTCTTTTGGCTACAGAGTTGGGGGTATTTTGGTAACATGGGAAATATATGGCACAGAGAAGTGGCTAACAGGTTTCATTAGATTTCGAAGCCCACAATTTAATAAATGGTAATAATTAAAAGCAATACCCGTATTTACCTTAAAAAACATAAACCCCAAACATTCATCTCATTTCTTGGCCTTATGTTAGAATTCTATTGCTTCATTTACATGTAGATGATTAAAAATATATATAGATATAGATATTTTGATTATGTACATAAAGCAGATTCAAGGGTTAAAATAAAAACGGAATTTTGGAGTGTGGTCAAATAAGGTGCACAGATTCCAGAACCCGCAGAGGGCCTGCCGGCCCTCCCGAGACTTTCCGTGTCTGTGGTGGCAGGGCTGGGCCCCGTCCCTAACAGCTCTGCACTGGCTTAGTGCAGTGGTGCTCACAGTTTCAGGAACTACCATGTGAAGTGTCTGGCTCAAGCCTGCCAAGTGTCTTCCCTCCACCGTCAGAAGTGGAGCACTATTCCTAGGTTCGATTCCCCTGAAATACTTTGCAGTTTCCATCCTTTCTGCCCCCTCTTCCGTATAAGGCCCGGTGATGCCAACGAAGGGGGCATGGTTGAGGGTCTAAGGCTCCCATTAGGGCCTAATTCTGTGTGGATGTCAACACATGACAGACACTTGACTGCACATTCGACATTTAAGGCAGTGGGTTCATTTAATGACTACTTTTCCAAATAAAGGTTTGTGGCACCGGCAGTTCTGCCATGTAACTGTCATCATCTGTGGTAATGCCTAGCAAGGGGCTGTTCTATTTGAATCGGCATGTGGATTACTGGGCTTGGAACACTCAGAATGCTAGGAGACCTGTTTGCCCCCTGAAGACTCATTTCCCTTCTGAATATTCACACAGCAGCCCACAGACCACAGTGCTGTTGGGAGGACGTGATTGGCAGCTGGCTTCATCACTTTGTGAATGAAAGCAAAACAAAGACATTTTACTTTCAGCCCCCATTTCCAGTCTTGTTAATGCCAGTCACTCCCACCAGAACTCCGGCTGAAGACCAGCCCACAGAGGACTAAGGCAATGGTGCCAACATGAAAGGGTTCTTTTAAATTGTTTTTAAGAGCAATACTTTACAGACTGTCTTGTTGTCAAACAAGGAACATGGCACTGCTTAAACACCAAACTGGGAATGGCTGCAAAGAGCCTGGGCTCCGAGCGGGGAGCTCTTCCTCTCCCTGGTCTGGGGCAATGAGTCCCACATCTAGACAGGCTTCCCCAGCCCTTGGCTCAGAAATAGGCTGTGCTTCTAAAGAGAAGACCAAGAGAGGGACTTGGGCCACATCAGTTTGGCAGCTGGTTGAGGCCACAGGTTCTCAAGAGAGAACAGTCAGCTCATTTATCCAACAGGATCTGATACTGGCTGGTTTAAAATTCATGCCACACCAAAGTGGTGTTTTGGCCCTTTTGCCTTTGTACCCTTCAGTGGCCAAAGCCAGGATGGGGATACGGGTGTTGCAGGCTGCAGTGGGGTGGGACACCTCTGTTTCTGGCCCTGTCCGAGTTTGTAGCTTAGCAGTGAGCATATTCTGAGCATAGGCACAGTGGCAAAGAACAGTGTAACAGCCGCTGGTCAATTCCATTTGGTGGCAGCGCAGTAGCAGCAAGGAAAATTCCCAAACAGCTCCATGTGTATCCAGCTTTTGGAAAGGAAAGACTTAAAAATCAATAAATGGGGCCGGGCGCGGTGGCTCACGCCTGTAATCCCAGCACTTTGGGAGGCTGAGGCGGGTGGATCACGAGGTCAAGAGATCGAGACCATCCTGGTCAACACGGTGAAACCCCGTCTCTACTAAAAATACAAAAAATTAGCTGGGCATGGTGGCGCGTGCCTGTCATCCCAGCGACTCAGGAGGCTGAGGTAGGAGAATTGCCTGAACCCAGGAGGCGGAGGTTGTGGTGAGCCGAGATCGCGCCATTGCACTCCAGCCTGGGTAACAAGAGCGAAACTCCGTCCCCCCCCAAAAAAAAAAAAAAAAAATCAATAAACGGATTTCTTTTATATCCAAGGGTTTTAGGGTTTCTTGTAACTGCTCTACCCCAGACAACAACACAACAAAGACCACAAATGTATGGCGGTAGTGTGAGAGCAGAAGTCACAGGATGTCACTTTCCGAGGGGAAATGGGACCTCAAGACAAACTTGTCACCATCAGAAATGATAATACAAAAGAATCTGCTGTTTCCGGAAGTGCTGAGCCACACAGCTGCAGATGCATTCCAAACTGGGTCAAAAATGAATGGAGACAGTGACACAGTCATGACATCCTCCTATCAGGAGCCTGACCCTGCAGCATGCCACAGGTCGTCAGGGCAAAGTCACACCTGCTGGGGGACAGGCTCCTGTGACTCACTCCCCTCCCTCGGCACCCCCCGCCACACACACACACACGCTACCAGGTTCTACAAAATTGTCATGTTCAACTTCTTATAGTATCTAAGACAATAAAAGACTAAAAGATGTCTGGAAATCTGCTGTGTAGAAAAATTAACTCTCAGCTGAAAATAACATTCAAAAGGCACTTCATCCTGTAGCAGAGAGACTCGGAGTTGGGTCAGCTGCTCCGGGCCGGGATAGAAGGGGCGGGTAGTCCGCTGGAGGGAGGACGGTTGAAAGGAAGTCTGATAGAGATCAAGCCTTTTTTTTTTTTTTTTTTTTTTTTTTCTTTTTTCGGTTTTTTTTTTTTTGGTATGTTTTAAGAAAAGCAAATCCAGTAAAATGCATGTTCCTTTATGAAATATGTTAAAAGAGTTCTTTTAAAATAGTTGTTTCTGTTCTTAAAAAAACAAAACAGGTAGGCATGGCCACATTCACCCTGTGGCCTGGAGCACGGAGTGTCCTCACTTGCAGCTCCCAGGGAGCTGAGGACAGGCAGGTCCCCTGAAGCCAGAGGTTCCAGAGTACACAGGTGGCAGGCAGGCAGAGGCCGGGGCTACCTATTGCAGAGTCTGTGCAGCATGCTGTACACGTCGTCCTCCCGGCTCAGGCCCTCGAAGAAGGGGATGAGGTCCAGCAGCTCCGTGTCCGTCATGTCATCGAACCAGGACTGCACAGGCACCTGGAAGACAGCGCATGGGGGAGGCAGCAGGACTGCGTCGAGGGCTGGGGCTGCTCCTAACCTAACTGGGTGCCCGGACTCGAAGCATTTTCTTTGGTAAGGAAAACTGGTGTCATCACCATTATCATCATCATTTTCTTTGTTCCCTTGTTCAAATCGACGCCAGTCCAAAGCCACACGGCTTGGGAGATGGCCCAGGGAGGCAAAGTTAAATGTGCCCAGTTTGTGTGCATTTGCCTGTTTTCTTTTCCTGCCACAGAAAAGGCAGTAGAGCACAGAATGTGTGAGAACTGGCCTTGCTACCTGCCAGCTTCAAAACGCTCTTTCCGCTGCACCAGATCTGCTCCTTGCACCGCAGAGCACTTACATGCCAACCACTGACCCCAGGGAGCTCACATCCGGGACACAGGAAGGCTTCCGCTTAGAGTCGCTGTGCAATATTACATCACAAAGAGAAGTGGTAAATTTCCTCCCTTGCTTAACAGTGATCAGTTAAAAGTAGAAGTCTAAAATTGTAGAACATTCTGAAGCTATTGGCAAAGACAGAATTTTCCCTGAATTTTAGACAGAGGAGTGTGGAGGGGTGGTAGCCAGGGGTAAAGAAGAGACGTAAAAACAAGTCTGAAGAAACCAAATTTGTTTAAAAATAACATTTTACAAGTCTTACAAGTAGCCCTTTTACAAATCTAAAGATAGCTTAGCAACATAAACATTTATTATGTAATTTTGAAAAATAAAGTATGCCGGACACAATGGCTCATGCCTGTCATCCCAGCACTTTGGGAGGCTGAGGCGGGCAGATCATGAGGTCAGGAGATTGAGACCATCCTGGCTAACATGGTGAAACCCCGTCTCTACTAAAAATACAAAAAATTAGCCAGGCGTAGTGGCACGCGCCTGTAGTCCCAGCTACTTGGGAGGCTGAGGCAGAAGAATCACTTGAACCTGGAAGGTGGAGGTTGCAGTGAGCCAAGATGGTGCCACTGCACTCCAGCCTGGCTGAGAGAGTGAGACTCCGTCTAAAAAAAAAAAAAAAGAAAGAAAGAGAAATAAAGGAAGGGTTAATAAAGAAATGCCTATGCCCGGGGACACGGAGAGTAGAGGAGACGGCAGAAATGAACATGGACTTCTCTATCTTTATTGATAGTTTTGATGTTAGAACCATGTAAATGTGTTATATAATTAAAATACAATTAAACTGTTAAGAAAAGAGCAATAAAAGTGATTCTAAGTATATATAAAATTAGTGACAAAACCACATAATTACTTCAAGTGGTGTGTGTGTGTGTGTGTGTGTGTGTGTGAGAGAGAGAGACAGAGAGAGAGACAGGGTCACACTGCTGCGCAGGCTGGAGTGCAGTGTGTGTGTGTGTGTGTGAGAGAGAGA